GCTCTTTATTTCTGTTTTTTTGTACCTTTTGCAAAGCACGCTCCGTGGCCGGGAGCCCCTGATGGGACATGCCTGGGGCCTCCTGCTAATTAACGACCCTGGGGTTCCTCTGTCTTTCAGGAAGCGGTTTTACAGCTGACAGACTGATTTCATAGCAAGGGAGGAATGCGCCGGGAGCCGACCTTGGATACAAAGCAGTATTTATATATTTATTTATACGGGCATATTTACCTCCAGCATAAAACAAAGTCTAAATAAGCCAAACAAAAAAAAAAAAAAGGGGGGTGGGGAAACCGGAGACTCGGCACTCAAATTCAGCAAAATATAAATATAAACCGGAAAGAAAGGAGGGAAACCACGCTTGTTCCCCACAAATAAAAACCGATAATCAATAATACCTGCTAAGAACGCAACTCTACAAACTCGCTGGCAATATACAGTGATTAAAGCTGTGACAGCAACGTTTAAACCGAACAAATTAGTGCTTTACTTGTTTTTTTTGTTGTTTTTTTTTTTTTTCTTAATTCTTGCAGTGGTGGCGTCGTCTCTATTTACAGGCTTTAAGCTCTAACGGTAGGACAGAACGTTGGTGAAAATTTGCTTTTTGAAACAAACTCCGCCACGGCCGAGCTTTGGCGAGCGTTGCCGCAGGAGGAGAGGGTTCGGCCCGGGCTGCACCCGCGGGGAAAGGCCCGACTGATTGTTAACTCCCTCGTTACTGATTGGGGATGGGGGGGTGGGGGGAGGCTACGCCGACAGCCGTTTCTGCAGGCCCTGAAGCAATCCTGTGACCCTTTAATAACAAGACCCTGCTGAGCTCGGTTCTGCCTCGCTGGTGGAACCGGCACGCGCTTTGTGATCTACTTTAAGGCAACAGATGGGATTTGGGATATAAGATGCTAAAACCTGCATTCTGGCTCCCTCTCCTCTCAGCCCGGTGCTGCTCCGCTGCGAAACGTGGGGCAAGGGCCGGCCTTTGCGCTTCAGGTGTTGCCTCATCTCCGTTCTGATGCTAACCTGCCACCATTTTTGCAGCACAGAGCATTTAAGGCTGTTCCCTCGTGCTGTCCTGGGAGCAGAAAAAGGCACTAGGGATGTTCCTGTAGCCCTTAGGCACTTGGTTTGCGGGGGGCCCTCGTACCCCTCCGTGGCAGAGACACCCGAGAGACTCCATCTCCCTCGGGCCACGTTTCTAGTGATTGCTTGATTCCCCCCCGGCCCCAGGAGCGGCTTTCCCCACGGCGGCGTGCGATGCGCTCGTGGGTCTGAGCTCAGCCAGGCCCACCGGCGAGGCGGTGGCTGGGTGCTGGTGACCTTGGGCAGCGCCGGCACTCGCCACGCCGCCCGTCCCCTCTCCAGGGGTGAAAGGAACACGCTTCAGCCCCAGCTCGCCAGTGCAAGGGGAAACAGCGGCTCCGGGCAGGGCCCCGCTCCGCTGCGCAGGCCGCCGCTTCAGCCCCAGCTCGCCAGTGCAAGGGGAAACAGCGGCTCGGAGCAGGCCACCGCTCGGCTGCGCAGCCGTCGAAGAGCACGTGGCTTCACTCACCTCAATGAGGACTTGCCAGCCCGGGCCACTGATTGCCAAGCGGAGAATAAAAGCTGCCAAGAAAGTAACTTCCCAGTTTAAGGCCAAGCGAAAAAGCTCGGGGTGGGGTGAGGGAAGAGCGCTGCGTCCGAGGGTTTCCTCCCCAGCCGCAGGCAGAAGCAGGGAATCCAGAGCGCGGAGCTGACCCATCCCAAGCCCTGGGACCTCTAGCTTTCTTCAGGGCAGTCCCCTGGCTTGGCTCCTTGGCTGCCCGGGCCTCCCTGCTCGCCCTCGGGTTCCTGCCTGCCCAGGCTTCAGTGCACTTTAGTAACTGGAGAGCATCGCCAAGGTGTAGTTAGGTGTTTGCTGCCCGTAGGTGTGCAGCGGGAAGGAAGACCTGACCTGAAACCGCCCTACAAATAAAGAGCCAGGTCCTTTGGTGGCAGATGCTCTAGCTGCTCTGCTGGGACAAGCTCAGAAAGTTCTGAGATGGGTGACAGGAGGTGAAGCTGCTCCCCGGACTGGGGAGAGGAGGCCAGGCAGGGTCCCACGCGATGGGTGACAGGAGATGAAGCTGCTCCCCGGACTGGGGAGAGGAGGCCGGGCAGGGTCCCACGCGCTGGGTGACAGGAACCATCTCTCTGTCTGGATGAAAACCATGTCTTTGCAGCTTGTTTCTCCAGCACGGCCACGGGCTCCTCGGTGCTGGAACCACCCCGGCCAGCAGCTGGCAAAGGGAGGGACTGCGGCACCCGGCTCCGCGGAAGCCAACAGAAGGCAGCGGCCAGGGCCTGACGCCGTTTCCCCAAACCAGTTTGGTTCCAGTTGCCCAGTGAGGGGGCTGCAAGGCGTGCTCTTCTCCGAAGCCAGCTTCAGCGTGCCTCAGGTCAGGGGAGTGGCGTTCCCCCTAGAGAAACGCCGCGT